TCTGTACTATAATATGATGTTCTATTATAGTTTCAACATGGATATCGGCCAAATTATTTATAATGAAATGTGAATAATCGATAGGTGCACTTTGTAGCAATACTTAATTATATTTTTATGATTTCGTAATTAATAGTTTAATAATAATTGTAAAAATAATTATAGCAGTTAAAATAATAATTTTGGATATTGCGAAAAATATTATTAAATTATTTTATTTGAAAACAATTTGAATATTAAACACGAACACATAAAGTTGTAATAAGATCACCTAAGTAATTTATAAATATAAATTGTAAGTATTACGACGTTCAGAATCGCGCAAAACCATTTTCCGGTATTGGATTATTATAATTATCATTATGGTATAATCGAAATATATGTGCGATGGCGCTTCCTTGTCCCGTGGGTTCAAACGCTCCCTTCTGTTTCTCCGTGTTCCGGACCGCGCTCGATCGACACAGTGCATAGGGACATCAGCCAATTCATAGACCTATTAACTAAATACTATTAAACTAAGGTCTATGTATGGGCTACTCGTAATTAATGCTGAATAATTACCGACCAATTGAATAACGATAGGCCTTTCACTCGCCCTCCACTGTTTCCGTCGCCCGTCGTCCTTTTTTTTAACGTCGTTTCGCGACTGGTCAACGGCGGGCGACGGCACTTATTTTCGGCTCGTCGTTCCGCCAGCATAGAGAGCTCAACCTTGTTTGTGATATATTTCTTTGTTGTTAACATTATTTTTACCGTATGGTCGGTATTCTTGTACCCTTACATATTTTTGCGTTATTTATATTATCTGTGTGCCGTGTGCCACACAATTATTATTGTTCCTATTACCCCGATAACCGTCCAGAGGAGCCGATGGGAAAACCGTCTATGTAATTATTATATGTATACTATATTTTTTTTTGAATCTTCTTTTTATTCTGTCTGTCTGTCTGAGTTTTACGCCCGTTCGGATTTATCGATCATGTATTCTATATAGGTATATATATTTTCACAATATTTGAGTCAATATTTATTATTGTTATTATTAGGTGAAATATAATATATTATATATTTATAATTAAATAATACAAAATCCACGATGCTCTGGCCTCACAAGGTCTCGGCTCGTGGTTGACGATCTTTATTTATCTGTACTCGCCAAGTGATACTTGTAAGATAAACCTGAAGCCATCGATTCATGTTACAGTATTTTTAAAACACGTTGGCTTAACTTTAATAAAAATAAGTACATAATTGATCCATTTGATACATTTTTTATGTACTCGTATGCTTGTACAAACATGGGGTTTTAAAACAGTCAAATGTTTCTTCTGAAAATGTAGAAGTTTACACATAGGAGACATTTCACGACCAATCACAATGTATTAAATATTGATTTCGATTTAATCGAAAAAAAACTATAATTTTATTTTCATCAAACTATTTATCATAAATAATAAAATAACGTAATCGAAATCGATATTATTTATTGAATTCAAATTGAGAAGGATATTAAGAGTATATTATTAATATTATAGTATTATTTTTTATTGTAAACTAGCTATACGACTTGGTATTGTTCGGGAATATAATATTTAATTTTCTACGTTTAATGTCAATACGAAATAAGTGCGTAGAAATCGGTAGGTTGGGTAAGTGTTTCGAAAATAAAAACTAACAAAAGAATAAGTATCGACATTTGATAGCATTATTTAGTGAGAATAAAATACAGCTGAATACATTTTTATGACATATCTTAGAATCTTAAAGTATAATATAGTATTCCTTTTTAGAGTATTACTATGAAAATAAAATTCTACAATTTAAAGTTCGAGAAACATGACTGCTGATTTCAAGATAATAGGATACAGATCTGTGCGCAAGGGAGGGTTTTGGAGGTTCTAAACACTCTCCCCATTGAGGATCTTTATACATTCATTTTTACTAAGAATATACCTTGTCTTCATTCCATAAAAGTTAAACTAACTTTAAAATGCATACATAGTTAACTATTATTGTTTTAACAGTTTTACTCGATTTGATGCTTTTTTTTCTATTTAATTTTCGCGCATTTGTCCACCTACTGTCGATTATCATTGTAAATGGAGGCATCGATAGAACGCATTTTTACTGATAAGTCAGTTGTTCGAGCTGTTCAGATATTTTTTAACATTTATTGACTTTCGATCCAGGTATTTTTGATAATGAACATTCCAACATGTATGTTTTTATTTACTTCTTACCTAACATAACATGTATCATTTTGAACATCCCTCCTTCTTAGAACAATTTCTGCATATGGGTCTGATGGGGTGATTAGTTTTGCTAGCTAAATTAGAAAAAAATTCGAAATGCTTATACACAGCAATATAGCAATGGCATTCCTTGTTGTCTGGATTATAAACTTAGAATAAACGGTAATGTAATTACCGTTTTATAATGTAATGTAAATGCAATGTTAGAGAACCAAGTGAAACTTTTTAAATAATTTAAAAAAACAAAAATAACTAAAAAATTGTTCAATGATTACGTCAGTGAATAATTATCAACCAGAAAAAGTCTGTTTTTTTAATGTAATTTACAAATTATTATTATTATGATCGTCAATTTACTATATGTAACTATAAAATATATCTTAAAAATATTTTAAAAATTTTTTGCTATTACTTAAAAAAAATCGTAAGATATTTTATAACAGGGTTATAAATTTAAAAAAAAAATGTAACACGTTGGACTTGATAGTAATTAAAATAATTTATTAAAAAATATATTAAAAGTATTCTATTTTATTGTTTTTACGATTCAATAATCTCCCGAAATGTGTTCGTTTATTCATGCATATTAATAGGCAATATAAATATGATTTGAAATAACATACGTAATAAAAAGAAGTGCACATTACTCGATGATATTATATAAAAAAAACCATAATTTATCGGTATAACGTAAGAGTGATGTATGAACATTGATAATGTTACATTATTAGTCGGAATTGATGTATTCAAAACGGATTACGCGTATTGTGCTTATTAAAGTATACACTCTGCTCATTTAAAATTTATTTGATTAAAATAATTCAATCATCCATACAGTACCACAAATGGTTTGTACCAATAATTTATATGTTTTGTGTAAAATTGTTGTTTTTGGAATTGTATTCAATAAATAAGTAAATTATATTAGTTTTAAAATTAGATATAACATCAATAATAGTGTATTTTAGGTTCAGTTAATAGTTTGAGTAGAATTATCGAAATTGGTGTTTAAAAAAATAGATAATTGAAAATAATACTATTAAAACAGCAATATAATTTATAAATTGCTGTGGGCTTTGCAGCAATCATAGGTCATGTAAATCATAAATTTTCACTTCCTCCTAGCACCAATATCTTCACAGCTGAAACATATGCCATCTTTGAAGCACTGAAAATCGCCTCCTCCTTAAATCCAGATTCTTTCACCATCATAGGTGACTCTTTGAGTGCTTTAATATCTATCTCAAATCCATACTCCAAGAATGAACTAGTACAACACATCCAAAAACTGTTATGTATCTCTAACAAAACTTTCTCTTTCATGTGGGTTCCCTCTCACGTCGGAATTTCTGGTAATGAAAGAGCAGATAAATCCGCAAATGAAGCCACACTTCCTCATAATGCCTTAAAAATAAACTTAACTATATCCTCTGAATTGCTCGACATCATTAACACAAAAATCTCCGACACATGGCAAACAAAATGGACCAGCGTCCTTCCTTCAAATAAACTGAGAAATATCAAGCCTTCCATAAAAAAATGGAATTTCCCCTGTAACCTCAAAAGAAGGGATGAGGTCATTATAACCCGTGCCAGAATAGGTCACACTCATCTCACCCACTCATTCCTCATCACCAAGGAACCCGCTCCACTTTGTGACGCATGCAACGTGGACCTGTCGATTGACCACATTGTCACTAGATGCCCAAAATACGCCGTAGCTCGGAAAAGATTTATCTTCTCTCCGACTTGCCCTCAGCGAAGAAAACACAGAAGCTATATACAATTTGTTTTATTTTATACATTTAAATAATAAGTTGTAAATATTTATAATTTTACATTGTTATAACTTTCTGTATGCTAATAACCTAAGCTGTTGAAGCCTTATCATTAATAAAAAAAAAAAAAAAAAAAAACAATTTATAAATTAACAAATTGTTGTGTACAGATACCGGGTTAGATCAAAATTACAATTTTTTAACAAATTATGCAAATAATTACATAAAATGTTCGAAAAGTATTTTACACAATAATTTAATGTTTGTATGTATTAAGATATTCCTAAATTAAATAAGATCACTTTTTGCATCAAGAACATGGTAATCATTTTAATTAAGTTAAACATTCGCAAACATTTCTCTTAAAATTGTTATCTATATTATTGTCGTTGCTGGTCATGTCATTGGATTGCAATTCACAATGACCAAACTTGAACGCTGAGAATTAATTAATAAAAAACAAAAATTATTCAAGTACCCTATTCAACATTAAATTTTAAAATTTACATTAATTGGAAAATATTTACTCAAGTGTTATACTAATATTAAATCATCGCAGTAAAATCAAATTGGTAAGATACAGGAATAAATAAATTTAAAAGGTCTACAACAAATAAATTTAATATAATACATAATAAAAATATTAAAGAATTGATCAAATATTTATTTAATATTACATATTTATCAATGAACGTTAAATAAATCGAGTCAACCACGGCCATCACAGATATAGCGGAGTGGTTGGCGATATATTTGCTATCATAGAAATAGAGATAGATTGATAAATAGATATATGGATACATGAATAGAAAAAAAGAGAATGAGAGGCAATTATTTGTAAGAAAATGTAACAAATGAAGCATTTATGGTCGGTACAAATGCAATAATGCACACACGTACAGTGCACTGCTGCGATTACCGATTTAAATTATGATTTACTAATCCGCCACAACGGTTTTAATGGTTTCAGGATTACAGTGGAAAATCCCGGATGATCAAACCCTCGCAGTAATTTTTCTAAAAGAAGAAACGCCGATCCTCGGGTGGTCCGAGGCTCTTGCAAGAACAACTATTTAACATTTAAAGGCAAGAAAACAGAGGCAAGAACGGTAACCAATGGCGTACGCCATACGACTTCTCGCCGCCATGCCAATCGTAGCTCTTGTGGTGAGTACCTTTCTATATACATTGCTCATTAAGTTTTTATATTAGTATACTATGTTAAAAAGAAAACATTTGATTATCATCTATCAGCCAAAATTGGGAAAAAAAATCAAAATGATGAATAAAAAATAAAAGTATGAACGACTGATTATTTTATGAACTAAAGATAATATTTTATTTAAAATAGCTTAAGTTGTGAATACAAAATAAAAATTATTCTGAATAGTTAAACTTGTGTATAAACTGATTGTTCTGAATAAATCTATTAAATAAATTGTGTATAATATTCACAACAAAATAAAGGCCCCATGTGCGAGTACTTAACATGTCGATCGCGAGTGCTAAACCAGTTAGATCAACCATTAATCTATACCAATAATGGTAATAATATCATGTATGATCTTTTTTTTCGATAGCAGATAATATATTATGAATAAGAAACACATCAATTTCAATTTTCATAAAATTGGAATTTCAACTTATCTAGGAATCATTTGAAATAAACACGATTATGTGGAATAATGAATAACGAATAATTGAATAAAGAATAACTAATAATTTAATTAGTAAAATAATTAATCGAATAATTTTTTATTGGATTAATGCCTAATTCTGTTATCAATGCCGTTGTAGGAATATAGGATAGTGATCAGGATGATCAGTCGAGGTGCGACTACTAATCAGAGACCCTTCAAAACAAAAAAAAAAAAAAAATAATAAATAAATAAATAAACAAAAATTGATATAATCAAGTAAAACTTTGTTTACATTTGGCCTGGAACTCTAACGGGCGAGAATAAACGAATGCGGATTAATAATCAATTCTAATATAATATTTTAGGACAGTTTTTTTCTTGAATCATCATTTAGTAATTAATGATAACATGTTTTGTGTACAATGTATAATTATAATGAAATATTTTATAATATGCAATTAAAAACCTGTATCGGAGATCATAGAAAATAAATCTCTACTCTTATGCATTACACCTTCGACAAATCCCCGATGATGTTGGTGAAATATAATATGTAGGTTTCTTGTTTTTCATTAATGATGGGTGCTCGTATCATATGATGAACAATTTTTTTCCGATGATTGTGGATTGGGAGCTCGATTGTTCATAAGTAAAAAGGGACATGCGTAAAGTCGTTTTGTTGCAAAAATATACATTGTCCAAAGATTTAATAATTAAAGATGAGAAACGAATTAAACATCTCATTAAAATAGCATTGTTATGTCGAGTGCACTGCAGAATGATCCGCTACAAATATTGTACGTAAGACGTCGAAACCACTAGATATGATATATTTGTAAGTAAATTGAAAATTAAGCAAAAATAAAAATAAAAAATATAGGATCGAATCGTTTCCTCATTTCGGCAGCCTGGCATCTATACCGTCCTTATGCCCCCAGTGTAGTATGTTTAGGTACTTGATTGGTGTGTATACCCTGTGTTTACTATTGTTTTTTTATAAATTTCATATGTGTTTGAAATAAACTTTTGTTATAATATTCCGTTGAAATATGCGACCACGTACACCGGTTAGGTTAGTTATCACTACTGATAATAACAACGAAAACGTATCGATATCGTATTCTACGTGAAGACATATTATATTTCATACGGAAGCCAATGATTTCGGTGGTTATTTTTTTTCCCTTATTGTTCTGGTATTTATAATATATTCTTATGGTTTAACTTTTATGATCGATCGTTTATATACGTTAACTACAAACATACACACACACTGAAACATGTATGTATATATACATACATATATATAAATCTATAAATTCAACTTTATTGATTTCGTTTAAAATAATGTTCCATACGGTTCGTTTTTCGAAATTCCTAAACCTATTGTTTGGAAAGAAAAAGAGACGAGGGTGAAATAAAATAATAATGATATGTATAAATAATATTTGTTTATTTTTTTGTTGTTTTTTCAGTGGTTTTTGTCGGTTCACATGCTGCTATTGAAAAAATTATAATAATAAAAGGTGTGTGTGCCGACGCGCGCGTACATGCGCATAGAATTATGCAACCCCCTGGAGTTATATAAGCACCCCGCAACGGTTTTTTTTTCCATCCCGTTTTATTTTTATCCCAAAAGAAATCCGCTCGCATGGTCTTCTCTACCTTATCACACCTACCCATCGCTTGTCTCACAGATTTATTTCGAACAATAACGAAACCAAACATTACGTATTACCGTGACCGCCCGTGGATCCTTTACGTGAATATTTTTACATCGCCACGGTCGGCGGAGTTTTTCACGCGCACCGTGTGTGATTTACGGCCGCGCGCGCGCCTTTTTCGTAACACTTCACGGCGGCCGTCGCACGAGAAAACGGGTGTGACGCATGTGCTCGTGTGCACCGACCGCCGCCGAGGAGAAACGCTGCGAGTCGACGCGCGTTTCCGGAAACGCGCGCAACGTTCAGAACGCATTGGACGGTTATCCTCCGCACGGTGTCTGCGGTACACGCGTACGCGCGGACAGCCCGTCCGTAAGACCGTCGAGCTCGGACCGTGCGAGAGGTCCGGCGAAAGGTTGGGTCAGGGAGGGCTAGAGCCCCGGGGCCCGTACGTCCGAGAGGGCCCGTCGTCTCGGGTTTTTTTTGCAATATTTTTACTGTACTCAAGTACGTACAAGCGGTACCTTCACACGATGCGTCGTCGCGACTGTTCGAATTCGAGACTCGACCGAAAACACGTTTTCAGCGGGGGACAGGGCCTTTTGCGACTTCGGCCGGAGCGTTACGCGCGGATGCAACTCAAATTGTTTTATCTGTAAAGTTGCACTGGCGCGTAACGCTCCGGTTGAAGTCGCAAAAGACGTCCCTAGGTCGTTCTTATCTCGTACAGGCCACCGACCGCGTTCGATGTCTAGGCCGTATTCTTCCACTTCCTGATGGTAGCCAGCCGCGTCCGCGATCCCCTCGCGATACGTCCCTGTACATGACCTACACCAGGAGTTGCCAATCATTCGATCTTCCTAGACAATAAATGTGTTAACTTTTCTTTGGAGCTTAGAACTCTTATGAGAGCTCATAAAAAATCTAAAAGTCTCTTCCTAAAGACCTAAATCCTTCTGGATGTCGATCACCAGGGACATAAAGTTTCAAATGTAGTTCACTTGTTCGAAAAGGTTGGCGATCCCTGACCTACACCTTTAGCTGCACGTTGGGCCCTCGAACCGCGACTAGGTCGACCTAAAGAGCTTCTCACGCGAACGCGCGTAGACTTGCACGCATGCATCGAAAAACCTTGCACCCGGGCCGTCGGTCGATCCACATTTGTGCGAATCGCGATCGCACCTCAACCGCAGAACTTCCGTTCGATCTTTTCACTCGTGTACCGCACTCATCGCGGCCGCGTGTCTTTGAACCAAACGCGCGCAGAAGTCATAATTTTCGGTGACCAAACGGTCCGTCGCGTGATACGATTCAAACGCAATGCATTTTACACCCGTACACTCGTTTTATTGCGTTGCACGTGTAACTCAAAATTGTACACGACCTGACCAAACGTGCGTGTATGTATATGAAAAATAAATTACAACTGTGTGTGATGCTACAGCTAATGATTATAACCCAACCCCTACGGTTTTTTTCCCCTCGTAACGTTCGTACGTTGTTGGTGGAGAAAATTTCTTTCTCATACATATTTCATGTACCATAAAAATAATCAATTGTAAAAGAACTAATTTTTAAGACGACATTTTACTATTCTCCCAACGAAAGTTAATTGTTGATTAATTTTTCAAACGTAGTGTTTACGAACAAGAATTTAGTATAGCTATTATTAAATCGTTTAAATGTTATTCTTTGTTGTCGACGCAACTCTCTCCGATATTTCTAAGAGTGTAACAATAACAATTTCCCGATGATTTTTTCATCGTACATTGAACACATTCCTGCAATGTACCTATATCGAAGCACAGATAGATATGTGTTCGTTGAACGGCTCTTAATCGATCACTAAACTGATTACTAACGTGCTGTCACAAGTCTTATGTAAACATATGTATTTATTCACTCGAATCGTTTTTATTAGCTACATAGTATACCGGTCTATTATCGAACAATAATTTATTCCGAAACCCATTCCAATACACTTCTCATTTCAATTACTTTGAACGTCATTGTTGAAACGAAATTCGAACAAATGTATTTAAAGCACACACCTAATGTACAAATCAATCGTTCAAGAATACGACATTTTTATTCATTTTCGTCGATCGCAGAATCACAAACATTGGTTTAAATTGTTTTGATCCAAGTTTAGTAATCTATTAAGTATTTTTATTTACAACGATAATAACATAGTGGCTTTCGACATGGTTACACACAGCGAAAGAATAAATGTGCACAGCTATTTTACGACAGTTTGTCTGGCGCTGAACGTTTTGGATCGATTTCTTTGCCATACTTACACTTTTTTTATATTTATATATAAATTATAGCTTCACGGTTTATGCTGTGTTCGTTTTATAAAACAATATAATAAAAATATTTCAAGTCGTAGATCAATTTTAACCGAGTTCGTTAGCATCATGAAAGTACACATTGAAAAGTACACTCGTACTAAATGGAATAAAATTACCGATTCGCAAAATATTCTCAATAAACCTATTTTTTGAATATAATGAAGAAACTGCAACGACGACGTTTTCAGTTTTACCGTTCGCGGTTTTCCTTTGCCATCAGTATGCTCCATACTATTAATTCGTTGTCCGATAATAGTAATAATTCGATGTCTAAGGCTGGCAAATTCGGCAGTCATTATTGTTTGTATTTATAAAAGTTAAATTACCACAGTATTAAGCCATCCGTTGACTGTATGTGCAACTGAATTTTCTATTGTAATATTATATGAAACGCTTCATAGCTATTGCATTTTCTACATATTTCCCGAAGTTTTCTTCGTGAATTGTATTCTATTATTCCATAACTAGTTGTTCGTATTAAATTTAATAAAACTTTTCGAAAACAAAAA